AGGCTAGAAGGGGAGGTGTGTCAATCACAGACCCCCAACAGGAAGAGACCTATCTTGTATTCCCATCAGAAAGAAACCTATACGTTACTATCCCAGCAGGAGGAAGAACGATTTTCTCCTTGGGTGGGACCAGACCAGCCAATGAGAGACTCACAATTCAACCAGTAAAAAGCCACTACACTTCAAACTCCCAGGTTACCCCAATGGACTTTTTGCTTAGAACAGCTCCTACCAATTCCCCCCTTTTCCTCTACAAAAAGAGCCTTCCTCTCTTTTGTTCTCCAGACTTGCCTATGGTTTTGAGGTAGCTTGCATGTCCTGAATTGTGATTCTCTGCTATTCCTTAATAAACCTATATTTGCTTTTAAAATCACTGCCACTTTTAAAGTTAACACTACCAAACTAGAAGAGCATAGATACAGAACTTTTCCATCATCACAAACAGTTCTATACAACAGCGTTGCTCTAGAGTGTGAAAAACATGTCATTTCCCTACAATCAGAGGTAGAGTTACAGCCCAAAGAGCTACAGGAATTAGTATTGCATCATCTGAAGTTTTCATTAATACATAATTTCATCTTTAGCAATACTGAGCAGTATGTTGCAGTGGTTAAGTGCTAGGGCTTTGGGGTAGAATAGTCCTGGATTTCAACTTTAGCTCCAACTTTTACTAAATTGTGTGGCCTTAGGCATGTTAGATTACGTCAATGCTCTGAACCAGCATTCTCAGTTTTAAATAGGCGGGGACTGGAGGGACAATAGTACCTACCTCATAAGGTTGTTGTGAGGGATTAAATGAGATAAGACCAATAACTGACACAGGTGATCTATAAATGTTAGTTATCCTTAACATTATTAAGTCCAGAAGATGAACTTGGCATGTTTTAGGACCTACAATCTAGGTGACCAGTAGAAAAGCCAATAGGAAACATTCAATCATAAGAGCAGCAAGGGAGTCAGTCCCAACAGGGGCCTCTTTGACTCTTGATAGATAAACAGTAACCACATTGTTCCTTCATAACTTGGGGCCAGAGACAAAAGGGACCTTCTCCCTTATACATCTGTTTATCTTTCAGCTTTCAAAAAGCCAAGGGGTACCTTACCCTCAGCCTTAAGGGACTCAGAATTGAAAGTTAACTGCCATGTTGCATCAAAATTAAAAAAAAGAAATAAAAATAAATAAAATAAAAGTGCAGCACATCATCTATAAAAGATTACCCAAACAAGTCACTCAGTAGGAGAGGTACTTCGAATTGTTTTTCCAGCTGTTTTTAGCAATCAAATCCAATTCCTTGATGTATTATTAAGGTAAAGTGTTACTATATTCACTCTTGTGTGAATACCATACACCAAGCCTGCTGTATTTCTGTAATCAACAAGATAAACATTTACTGAATACCTACTACATACAGGACACTTTTACTCTACATCAGCCCATCAGCAAACTAGCATCTGGCAGGCCAAATGAAGTCCACTTGTGTTTTTTTCTATGGTAAACAAGGTAGTAATGATTTTTACATTTTTTAACTGCTGGGAAAACTGCCCTCAACCACTATTATCAAACACTGAATGGCTCTGGAAATTAGCTTTTGCTGAAGACTTGATAATGTTCCTTAATCAATCCAATCTAAAATAACAAGGCAAACAGCCTTCTTTTTGAAAGTTACACTGCAGGAAAGTCATTTCAACAACTAACATTGTTTGAGTCAAAAGCAATGTCCACATGCTTTATACACTTCCCATGCTCTCACAAGTCAAAACAACAAAGTCACAATGAGATACCACTTCACGCCCACTAGAATGGCTATAATAAAAAAGGTAGACATTAACAAGTGTTGGTAAAGATACAGAGAAACTGAAAGCCTCATGCCTTGCTGGTGGGAATGTAAAATGGTGCCGAGGTGGTAGAAAACAGTTTGGCAGTTCCTCACAAAGTTAAATAGAGTTGCCTTGTGGCCCAGCAATTCTACAAGTAGGTATGTATCAAGAGAAATGAAAACATGTCTGCACAGAAACTTGCACACGAATGTTCATAGGGAAGCATTATTCATAATAAACAAAAGGTAGAAACCACCCAAATTCTCATCAACTGATGAACCGATAAATAAAATATTGTAAAACCATACGATGGAATATTATTCAGCCACAAAAAGGAACAAAGTTACTGATAAATACTAAAATTTGGATAAATGTCAAAAACATGCTATGTGAAAGAAGGCTGACACAAAAGACCACATATTGTGTCATTCTGTTCATGTGAAAATCCAGAAAAAGAAAATCCGTAGAAAAAGAAAGTATTGGTTGCCTAAGGCAGGGGGTAGAAATGGGGAGTGACTGAAAATGAGCACAAAGTTTCTTTCTGGGGGGATGGAAATCTTTTAGCTAAGACTGCAGTGAGGGTAACACAACTCTAAATTACATTAATAATAATCAAATTGTACATTTTTTAAAATGCATAACACCAAAAGCGTGGCCTACAAAAGAAAAAAATTATAAATTGGACCTCACCAAAATTCAAAACTTTTGCACTTCAAAAGACACCATTAAGAAAATGAAAAGACAAGCAATAGACAAGAAGAAAATATCCACGTATCATCCATCTGGCAGGGACTTGCATTTAGAATACATCAACAATTCTTACAACTCAACAATAAAAAGGTAATAAAGATCATAACTCAATTCAAAAGTGGGAAAAACATATGAACAGACACTTCACCAAAGAAGATACACAACTGACTCATAAGCACATAAAATGATGTTCATCATCATTAGTTGTTAAGGAAATACAAATTATAACCAGATGAGTTATCATTTCATACCCATTTAGAATGGCTATAGTAAAAAGACAGACAATAACAAATGTTGGTGAGGATCTGGAGAAACAAAAACCCTCATTCATTGCTGGGGGAAAAACAAAATAGTGCTGCTGCTTTGGAAAACAGTTTTGCAGCTTCTTAAAAAGTTACACGTAAATTTGCCATATGTTCTAGTAATTCCACCCTTAGGTATCTACCAATAAGAAATGAAAACATATGTCTACAGGGAGACCTGCACACAAATGTTCTTAGCAGCATTAGTCATAATAGCCAACAACTGGAAACAAACTATTAACTAGTAAGTAGACAGACAAAATGTGTCATAGCTATAAAGTAGAATACTGTTTGGCAATAAAAATCAATGAAGTATCGATACATTCTACAATATGGATGAACCTTAAAACTATTATGCTCAGTGAAAGAAGCCAGGCATGAAAGACCACATATTGTATGATTTTATTTAGATGAAATCTCAAAAAAGGGAAAATTTATAGAGACAGAAAGTAGACCAGTGGTTACCTGGGACTGGGAGTGGGAATAAGAATTAACTATAAATAAGCATGAGGGCAATCTTATTGGGAGAGTGAAAATGTTCTAAAACAGATTATGGGGATGGCTGCACTACTAAGTAAAGTTACTAAAAATCATTTGATTGTACATTTGCAGTGAGTGCATTTTATTCTATGTAAAAAATATTTCAGTAAAGCTGTTAAAAACAGGAAAGGAACAGTAAGGGAAACTGGGTGAAGGGTACACAGGAATTCTGCTCTATCTTTGCAACTTTTCTATAAAACTAAAGCTATGCTGAAATTTAAAAAGTCAAATAAAAGTTAACAAGGGTATGTTTGTCGGTTGATATTAGTATTTGGCAGTACCTATCAATGTGAAGAGACGTTTACAAAGATGAAATAAAAAATCTCATTACGGATCAGCATCAACAGATGAACATTTGACATGATTCTTAAAATGGGGAACATTGACTGTAATCCCCAATTAAACCAAATGTTATCCCCCCAAAAAAGAATTCCATTATTCTTATTAGTAGTCCTGTATTACAAAACAAGTAGTCAACTATTATTTTATTTTTGGATTTCATCAATAAACGTTTGTTGAAATTTGTTTTCTGTCTTGTTATATACGTGCCTACAAATTATCCTCAATTTTGCCTTTTGGCCTGCAACACCTAAAATATTTACTATCTGGCCCTTCACATAAAGTTTGCCAAGCCCTGCTCTACACTATAAGAGGATACATACAAACATTATCAGTCTCTTTCTTGAGTGTATTCTTATCATTACCTAGTTTTGGCATAACGCCCTCCTGGATATGCCTATAAAGGATAAGCCTTGCATCTCTTCTGCTATGGCACTATTTGGGATTTCCATAAATAGAAACACTATTAGCTTAATATTTCTAGCAAAGCCTCCAGGCCATCGTTGTTATCATGACACCAAAAGGCCAACACCATACCACAATATCAAGACTCTCATCGAGTTGTGATGTCACCAGGCCATGGACTCACCGAGGTCAATTAGATATCAAGTGGCTCTTACGGCCTCACACCCTGCCTTTGGCATCACCCTGGCACATCACCTTACTATGGAGGCATATGCCATCACTGCTGTGACAGAATTCTGCCCTGATGCCGCTCCGCCAATATGTCAGAATAATTAACCCCTACTTCTTTCCACTCCTTTGGTGGCGGCAGAGAGGGGGAGGGTAGCCACAGCCATCCGCACAAGCTCAGGAGGTAGTCCTCAGCTCCTACTGTTGTCCCTTCCGCCTGCCACTGCAAGTCACAGGGCCCCCGTGGGACAGGACCTTCAGGCTCCCATAACTCTCTTGCCAGGACCCCGTACCCGTTTCTCGTGGCCGACTCAATGGCCCAACAGTGACCACCCACCCCGGTTCCACACGAAGCCGCTCCCCGTACCTGACTCCATTCTCCAGCTGTCATCCTGGGCCAATTCCACCGGCCACTTGACTACGGCGGCCGCAAGGACCCTGGGACTTGTAGTTCCGCACTGCTAGGGGCAGAGCCGGCGACCGCCGCAAAGGCGCCTCCCTTCCCGGAATTGCCCTCGAACTGCAACTCCCAGAGGCGCCCCGCGGTGGGAAAGGGGCAAAGGCACGAGAAAGATTAGTGATTGGTGGAACTCTGTCGGCTCTTTTGATTGGCAGTCAAGGCTGGGGACGTGAGGCGGTCGTTGGTCCGGTGTTGCACGGAGATCCTGGAAAGGCGAAATGGAGGGGTGTGTATCTAACCTAATGGTCTGCAACCTGGCCTACAGCGGGAAGCTGGAGGAGTTGAAGGAGAGGATCCTGTCTGATAAATCCCTGGCTACTAGAACGGACCAGGTAAAGGAGTTCTGGGGCCTCTCCGCAGGCTGCCGTGTCGACCAGGCCCAACGTGGCCGCCTGGCCTGGCCCAGACGGAGGCCGGTTCCCTGAGGGCCAGATCCCCGCCCCCACCGCCCCATCCTTCCCCGGGGTCACCTCAGGACTCGGGATCGGGCGGTAGGAGCTAGCCCCGCAAACCTCTAATATTTGGGGGAAGAGGAGGCCCATACTAAGCACGCTAAATTTTGGATATTTCTAGAACGTTTACCGCGTTTCTCAGAAATGCCTACTCTTTGAGATACCCGTGAGGAGGAGATGGAAAGCTTTTTTTTTTTTAATGTGTTTGTTTACTTTTTCTAGTAAATGTATACAATGAAACATATGTAACCGAAAGCCAATTCTCTGGAGGGCAGTTTAGTAGGAGCTGGGGATAAGGTCGAGTGGAAGAAGCACACGTTGTTAAAGTAACCCTGGATCATCCGTCCGGTAGCATTGTCCTACGAATACTCAGGAGAGAAGTTTACGTGGGGCTTTCAGAACATAGAATGGCAGGACCTGATTCAGTCTCCCTCAGAAGAGTGAATGTTGTAATTGGAAAGGTTTTGCAAAGGAGAGAAGGTTGGTTAAACCTTGAAGGGTGAGTGAGATTTTCTTAGAGGGTGAAGGGGCATTCTTAGGCGGAGGCGGAACAAAAGTGAATGGACTTTGGGAAATCTGCTCTTCGGCTCAAGGGACCCCCATGCTTTCACCCTGCGTTTCTAGAGAGATTCACTGTGACCTCAACAAGCCAACAAATATTTATAGATTGCATTCTACATGACAGGCACCCTGCTAAGCACTAGTCAGACAGCATCATATACTTGTGAATCCCCATTTTGTGTCTTTGAGAAGAGTAGAAGTCAGGAGACTTTACTCTGGAACTTTCCTTTATTGCTTAACCTGAAAATGGCCTTATCTTTATTTAGTTTACTTTCATTATGATCTGACCGTTTTTAATACTTTTAATTTAACTTAATAATGTCAAATGAAGTTTTAATAATCTATTCATCAACTCAATGGCATAAAAAAGAGGGAAGCTGTTCAAGATCAAGAGACTTAAGAACCAACAATCCTATGCAAATTATGGGCCTTGTAAGGAGCCTCATGGAAGCAAAGCAGCTGTTAAAAAAACATTTGGGGGACTCCTGGGGAAATCTGAATACAGACAGCTTTAGATTTTATAAAGAAGTTAGTGTTAATTTTTATTGGTGTAATAATGGTCTCATAGCTATTTTAAACAGCATCCTTCTTTAGATACTGAAATGTTTAGGGATGAAAAGTCATAATATTTAGGATTTGTTTTTTTTTTAATGTCATGGAGGAAACTAAGTGAGGCAAATATGACAACATACTAAATCTAGGTGATAAACATATGGGTTTCTATTATATTCCCTCTATTTTTATGTGTTTGAAATTATTTTATAATAAAGTTTGAAATACCACATTCTTTTCCATAGAGCTAAGAAATACAGCTGTCACTGCAAAAAGGAAATTCCCTTTGAGAGAAATGACTAACTCCTAGCTTATTATTTTTTAAAAGCAACGTTGCTGTCTAATTTTGTGGGTAGCATGATTTTTAAATGATTATGTGGATAATCTCAACTAGTTGTATAGACATTTCTTTCCCATAAGATTGATTTGTTCTTGGGGGGCCTGAGTGGCTCAGTTGGTTAAGCGTCTGAGTTCAGCTCAGGTCATGATCTCACAGCTTGCGAGTTCACCCCTGCATCGGGCTCTGTGATGACAGCTCAGAGCCTAGAGCCTGCTTCAGATTTTGTGTCTCCCTCTCTCTCTGCCCCTCCCCTGCTCTCGTGCTCTCTCTCTGTCAAAAAAATAAACATTAAAAAAATTTTTTTTTAAGATTTTTTTTTTTTTTTTACCAGAGTATCTATAAATTTTGTGTCAGACAGGGGTTTGTGTTCCAGCTTCACCATTTAATAGCTATGTGACCTTGGACGAATTGCTTACCCTGAGGATTCTTAGTTTCCTCATCTGTAAAATGGGGCTCATGTCCACTGTACAGGATCATGGAGATTAAATGAGATGATGCTTGCAAAACTCCTAGTGCAGTGCCTGGTATAAAAGAACATAAATAATATAACAGTAAATAGCCAAAGCTTTTTTTCTGCCAAGCCTTGAAATCAGTTTCTTGCTCTGCCATTTTCATGGCTGTATTCTGCACAGAATTACACCTGTCAGTGGATTCTCCTCCATGTTACTAAAACCTTGGTGTCTCTTACAGCAATAAGTAATATAGTTTAAGGACCTGAGGGTCCAGGGCTCTCTACTTCTTGTTTCCAAACTGTAGGTTTGCTGGCCTCAATATTAATTTTTTATGCTTTCTTACCTTCTATTTCATCTCAAGAATGTTGATCTTCTCACTTCTCTGTTTCCCGTGCAGGACAGCAGAACCGCATTGCACTGGGCCTGCTCAGCCGGACATACCGAAATTGTTGAATTCTTGCTGCAACTTGGAGTGCCCGTGAATGATAAAGATGATGTGAGGACCAGGCAGAGTTGATAAATGCTCAAGTTATCTGTAGCCTCTAGTCTAGTGTTCACTGAAAACTGAGTATTAAGCTCACAAACAAAATTGAAACCTTTATGACTAGGCAGTCACAGCAAGGGGCCCTGGTGACCAGGCACAGGACTAGAGGTTGCCTTATTTTAGAATGTTCATTCTGCCATTCAAACCCTGGAGGTTAAGGTTAACACGCAGATTAAGGCTATAATACTACAAATCCTTTTTATTATGTTGGGAAGTTGTGGGGGGGGGGGTTTGTTGTTTTTTTTGTTTTTATTTTGTTTTGTTTTTGGTGAATACGACCTGAATACTTAGGGCTTGGATATCCTTTTGTTGTTATAGAGAGATTTATTGTAATGATATTGGCTCTATTAAGATAAAACTTGTGAAGAATAAGGATGGAATTTTTTGTAGGCAAAGATTCCTCTTCAAGGATACTCACTGAAATAATACTTATAATAGCCAAGAAATAAAAACAATTTAATGCAGGAATGGTTGAGTACAGTATGAATATCTCTACAATAAAATAATATGCAAGCAATAAACATAAGAATCCAAAGAATAACGTGCAAAAGTCTCACAACAAAACGATAAGTGGACATTGTGGGAAATGCAAACTCACAGAACTTTATATCCTGCCGTCCCAATTTGAGAACACATTATTTATATATATATATATATATATATATATATATATATATATATATATATATAATTATTTCTGTGTTAGGGGATTATGGGTGGTTTTTTTCCCCTCTTGTATGCATCTACTGCCCACATTCTCTGCAGTGCTTAATGAGGGAAAAAGAATGTTATTTTCTTAAACCGTTCACACACAGCTTTGTGTAAACCTTACCTGCATGCTAGTATTAATCCCTATGCATTTCCTCTATC